TCTCCCGCACAGCCACCCGGCTGGACGAAGTAGCAGGAATCCGGGCGAAGTTCCCGACCAAGATCCCGGTAAGTCCCTGGTTGCTATCGCGGGTGGTCGCTGCTCTTCAAAAGAAGTAACGCTGGGGACCTCGCCCTAAAGCGCGGGTGGGGAGGGACCGGGATGTTTTAGGTTTCGCTAAGTGCGACTCTAATTAAAACAGGTCATTGTTGAGAGATACCATAAAGAGAAGTACCTTCCTCTCCTGGACAAAACCAAGTTTCTCGTTCCCGAGGAGCTGACCATGACGCAGTTCATCACCATCATCAGGTAGGGAGCGAGCGCCCGGGCTGGCTGCCGTTCTCCGGGCAGGCATCTCCTAGCGCCGCGCTGGGACGCCGCGCTTTCTTTGGCGGGGAGCAGGACGGAGGTGTTACTGGTGGCCTCTCTCTCTTGCAGGTGTTTAAAGAAAATCGACAGTGGTTTTCTCTGGTGCATTTGGGGGAAAAAAAATGTGGTTTATGCCTTTTGGGTTTCCTAAAGTCTTCTCTCGTCCCCCTAATTGTATTGGGTAAAGGTTGTATCAGATTCCTGTTCTGCTTGCTTCTTGCTTGGTGCTGGGGCTCTGTGGTTCTGCGCTGCTTATCGCTGGTTTTGCCATGCTCTCTTGCTGCATTTGCTCAGGTTCAAAACAAATCTTAGGCATGAAATGTGCTTTTAAATTAGGACACTTCTTCCCTGTAGTGTTTTGTAAAGAATAAAGTATTCAGTGATGTTCTCTGACAAACTGGGAAAGCTACGTGCTTTCCAGCACACTTAACATCTAGGAAGATCTTTTCCAAGCTTTAACTTCTGTAAAATATGCCTTTGGTTCTTGAACAGCTTGGGGTCCTGATCCTCATATATAATGTCTCTGAGAAGGACTCTTCTTTCAAAGGCAGATGTTAAAAGTAACTGTAACAGGCTGTGCTGCAACCCTGTGCTGCAGAGCTTTTGGTTTCTACTCAGCACTTCTCTCTGGCAGCTGGGAACTCACAGCCCAGGCTCAGTAGCACTCATGGTCTAACAATGTAAGCCCTTCCTCAGACAGAGCACAAGCCTTCCAAGGGTACAGTTAACTTCCTGCTGCTGAAGACGTTAAACCACATAATGACTTTACACACTGTTTCTTGTACACGGTTCATGCAACTGCTCTCCTTAATGTATTTCATAGGCTAAAGTTGAAACCTCCTTAAATTTGCTAATGCTTAATCCTCTGTTTCTCCTCCCTTCTTCAATTAGAAGCAGGATGGCTCTAACTGCTGCACAAGCTTTCTACCTGCTGGTGAACAACAAAAGCCTAGCCAGTATGTCCTTGACAATGGCAGAAGTGTACAGGGACTACAAAGATGAAGATGGCTTTGTATACATGACATATGCTTCCCAGGAGATGTTTGGATGCTTTTTACCCACTGCTCAAGGGAAAACTATGGAATGCCTTCAAAAAACTTAAGGTTGGGTCCGTGTGCTGTGTTGAAGCAGTTGGCTATGAATCATGCCTGTGACGCGAACCTCTGAGATGCTTCTTCCAATTGGAGCTCTCGAGCTCTGTAGTGGGGAGTCATGACCCAAAAGCTGGCAGGACCAGCTTCAGGCAGAAATGGTAGTACACTTTTTCTAGACAATAACTCGGATATATATTTTTATATTTGAAAACACTATGGGTTTTTTTTTTTGGAACTGCACCTCCACTTTTTTATTTTTGGCAATACCAGTCTTTGTTATGTAACTGATTTTTAAGGTATCCTTAAAGTTTAAGAGTAAAATAAAGAGGCTTTTAAGTATTGAGTTGACTGCCAGTCTTAATGTGGGGAAAGACTGTAAAGGTCTGTCTAGGAGAAGGTCCTAGAATAATTCTGGGAATTTGATATAGATAACTACTTGTTTAAATAAGCAAATCTGATTGCTAGTCAGCATAACCTAAATGCAGATAGCATGATTTGAACTGTGGTTTAACCAAGTGTTCAAGAGTCTGTTTTTACTGCTGAATTTTGCTAGTTAGGTGTCTGTAGACAGACCGTTCTATCAATCCCCTCGGGCATCTGCTTGTCAGGTCCCCTGAAGGACTTAGCTCTAGCCAGCCTTGAAAGAAGGCTCGCTATGTGGTGTACCTTGTGATTAAGAGGTATACCAGTGTCTCTAGAAAATGTCAAAACTGTCACATAGTGAGATGCTGATTCATCTGACACAGAGTTGGTTCCTAAACCTGTATTAGAAGAACACTTGACATGAGGCTTAGTCTGCAGTATAGCTTGAGCAACCTTTCTTGGTCTTGTATGTGAGGAATGTACTGGGAGGTTGTAAATGTTCTGATTGTGTGTAATCCACTCAAACACCAGGTCACTTAATTAACTGCACACTGTGACAGATTTAAACAACCTCTGGCAGCCTCAGCTTGGGATGGTCAAATTGTTGCTCTATGATGCAATTCTTCAGTACCAAACTGATTTGCAAAATGATTAATGTAGGAACTACTAGGCTGCAAAGAAAGAAGCGTTGACAGTTTTTAAATTATGCATAAGGCAGGAATGTGCATGTAAGCTTTTTGCAGTAATAATCTCTTAAAGCTCTGAGCAGTCCTGGGTTCAAGCCTCTAAACCTGGGAGTTTAGAGGGGTACCTGCCCTATTGAGGATGGTGTTTGCCAACTCATGTTTCGTGAGCTGAGGAACAAAGAAATCATTGACCTGACCGACTCAGTGGAAAGGCTAAAAGCTATGTCCACATAGGTTATAAAAACATAGGCTTTGGGATCCCAGAATCTGTTGCTTGGATAGATTTCACTTATGCTTGTAATGGAAACAGTTTCCACTGCACAAATTGAACTCAGATAGTCATTTGTTACCAGCCCTCAGGGAGGCGACACCTGTTTGGCAGGAGCACCATGGCAGTGTTGAGCAGCTGTGGGAACCTGGGGTTGGGGGAGCAAGAGGAAGTCTTGCTACATTCAAGCTCTCTTGCCAATCTAAGAGCTGGGCTAATGTTTTGCTTCATTGGCTCTTCAGTTTGTCTTCCTGTCTTCCATGATACTTGGTACATGAGGAGAAAAGCACTACGGATTTGTGGCTGAGCAATTTTATATCTGACAGTCAACTTTCTTTGGTTTGTAATGCAGTGGCTGAGGTGGAAGTGTTGATCCCTTCGGCATTTACTGACATTAGGCTATAGTGTCTAGCAGGCTGAGTCACTGATCCAGCAAAATGTTACACAAGGAGAAGGTCAGTTGCAGGTAAAGAGCATCATTATAAACCTGTTCAAACTGGCCTGCTGATCCTAGAGAAAAGCCCTGTGAGCTGGGAAAGCTTCATCATTGGGTAATAGTAATAGACTTGCCCTCCTACCAGATGTTAAAGCAGATAGGATTAACCATCAAAGACAGTTTTCAAGAGCTTTAAAATAATAAACTGGAGTTAGATGCCCAAATAAATCAGTTATTCTGCTGGTGGACCAGCTTTGGATTCAAGCTATTGTCTCTTGAAGTGCAAGGAACAAGGATTAGGAGAGAAGCAGACAGAAAAACTTTGCTCTGACAGAAATAACCAGCTGAGATAACTGCAGCTGCTTCCAATGTAGCTGCTGTTTGAGGAGCTAATGTTTGCTTGAGCAAATACCTGTTGATCAGAGGCAAGTAGTTGTGGTTTTTTGGTTTGGGTGGTGTGGTTTTTTTTTCCCCAATGAAGGACACTGTGCTGTGGTAAGTAAGTTTTATGGTTCTTTCCAACGTGCCCCCAGTGTAAAAAGGGAAGGCAGAGATGCCACTTTTTTGCAAAAATACCTTCACTCCTGAATTATGATACAGACTTGTGTTCTTTAATATCCACCAGAGGAAAGAAAGTATTCTGAGTATACTTCTGTTCCTGCTATAAACTACTAACTAAATCCTGGAAGGCGGTCGCTGCTCTGGCTCCAAAGCACTTCACATTTGCACATGCTCTGCTGAACTAACTTGTTAGATTGGGTCCGCAGCACTTGGCCCCTTGTAAGATCAAGCACTGTGTCCCACCTTAAATTATGAACCCAATCAAACTGAAAAGGACACTGAATGCAAGTGTGGGATGAGGGCTGAAATTGCCCTTGCTGTTGAGTTTTTTTTTTTTTTTGAGTATTGTGTAAAATAATGGAGTAGTGGGGAAGTTGTGACTTTAACATAGCCAAGTGGAATCCATACAGGGGAAAAAACCCATTAAACTGTATCTTCTGTAAGTTCACCAAGGTACTAAAAAAGCTCCAGTGTTAATATAACCATGGATACTGCTGGAGTTATTAAAACGGAAATACCAAAATGGCTAAAACATGAGGCTGCAAACTTGCAGCACAAAAACGATACTTTAATGAAACATGTCATTCATGTCTAATGTATGTCTGCACGGTGACTGCTCTGGGAACAGGAGAGTTTTCTTGCTTTCAAAAGACCTGAGCAAACTTCACTCCTGAGGCACATGCTGCGGGCTGCGTGTGCTCTGAATGCTCATCAGGGCAACTGGAAGAGAACAGAGTAGCAGTTAAAAAAAAAAAAAACCCTACCCCTAAGCTCTTGGGTTTGGTAGGCAGAAAAAAAAAAAACCCAGAAGTCTTACCAATGCATTTGAATTTCAAGTGGGTAGATATCAATGTGGGTTTTTTTCCTGTACCTGCTAAGTTCAGAGATTTGTCTGTCTGTACTTTCTGTGGTACAGCTGATGTCCTACAGCTGTCTACAAACACAGCTACAAACCATGTACGACGCATTGCAGACTGCAAATTGTCATTTATTGCTGCAAGGCAAACGTGGTAACCTCAGCTTGGGCTTCAGCACATAAGCAACAGCAGGAGCTTTCCAAACTGTTTGGATTTTAAAATTATTTAACACTGTGTGTGGGTAGAGTAAATAAATGAATGAATGAATGGGGATACTAATCTTCTCACTCAAGTACTGCAGCCAACAACTTTGGTGAACTTAGATGGGCTTTTTATCGTTTTCCCGTGCTAACTACTTCCAGATGGGGGTAGCTTCAGGGTAAAATATGGAAGATAGACTGTTAAACACACTAAGTGACAGACTCTTCAAGTGTGTTTTTTTGGTATCTTACATAAAACAAAAGACATAACCAGGAGAGAAACTATTTTTAGGACAAAGGCTTTTAACTTACAGACTATGTAAGTGGAAGGGAGTGAGAGGGAGGGTTCCTGTGGAAAAGTTCTGAGGGATCCCTGCAAATTGATTGAAAAATACAACATATGTTACAGTACGACCTATACACAAAGCTTCTAATAGGACACACGCTTCCCTTAAGGAGCAATGTTCCAGAAAAATTTCTAGACAACTCTCCTGAATTTTAAAACATTCTATTCTTTTCATACAGTTTTGAATTGCCCTGTAAAATTTTAGCAGAGTCCTGCCTATAGGTATGTGCTTAGTTTCTTTAGCTCTCCTAAGATGCTTTGTAGCGGTAGCTTTACCCACTTTCTTTCCCCTCTGATGTTTTTAGGTTCCTTCTTAAGAGCACAAGTCTCTCCGGTATCTGCTACTTGTTCCTAGACAGCCCACAACACGCAAGGCGGTTAGGTCCTATAATAAATGACAGACTGACCCTAGTTTAGAGGAACATGAATGTAATTTTAATGAAGGTGACCAATCCCCTTAAGGCTCTCCTCCAGAAGGTCATAATCGTATCACTCCCTGCCTTTTGTTTTCCACCTGATGCCTCTCTTGTGACTGTAATGCTCCGATGGCACGCAACTGTAGCAGCGTAGTCCAGGTGGAAATTTGAAGAACACATAGCAAGTATGGATGCCAGAATTTGAAAAGTAGCACTGTCCCTTTCCCACACAGCAAGAGATCCTTGGGAGGGAGGTAGTATGCCCAACTGAGAGCACAAGGAGTTTCCAGAGAGTAAGGGCTGCTCAGGCCACTCAACACTTACATCATGTCCAGCCGGGTCTGTAAAGGGCCTTTATGAGGCTGCTCGTGATTTGGTGCAGGGTGGGCTTGGCTGCTGGTGGTTATTTTTGCAAATACTCCAAGATCCTGTCTTCACTTTCTTTCTGTGTGTAGCAGCATGGTCTGGATCCTAATCAGACCTCCAGCCCAAGCCTCTTATGTGTTAGAAAGGTGAGAAGGCTATGGATCGCACCGTCCTTGAGACAATGCAAAAAGAACCAGGTTCACCTGCTGTTGGTCAATAGATCCCTGGTAGACCCAAAGCTTATTTCCCGTTCTCAAGAATAAAGCCAAGACTTTACAGCCTGCAAGATGGATTTGTAGGGACATCTTT